GTGGGCAGGGATGACCCCCATTTGTGGTGATCGAAGGCAAGTTGGTGTGGTACTCACAGTGCGCTGGAGAATGCCACTCCCCCCACCAGCACCAGGATCCTGGTTTTGCAGAGTCAGGCCTGTAACGGGCAGGCGTTTGACTGCTGCAGTGCTGTAGAACTTGAAACCGGATTTATTTTTGGAGAGTGAATTCCAGTATCTAGAATTGCACCGTACAGGCTGTAGCAACCTGAACCCCAGGCCTGCCTCACGTGGTTTGTGGCAAATCTGTTCGGTAATCAAATGGTTAATGTAAGTCTAAGCGTAGGTCAGAGTAGATGCGTTTATACACCAGATTCTTCTATTAGAAGCAACAGACTTTTAGTGGGGAAGAGGAAGTGCTTGCCATTGTTAGTTCCCTAGCTGGAAAATTCTTTGTGACCTAAGAGAGCTTAGAAAAATATTTGCTTTCGTTCCCTAATATCTTAGCAGCCTGTGGCTTGTTGCCACCTGACCACACTTAACAGTGTTTGTCAGGGTGGTTTGGCTTCTGACTGGTCATTCGGTAAGTGGTCCAGACCGAAGTGCGGGAGGTGCCAGGATGCTATCCTGAGGTCCGACAGTGGCGCCTCTCAGCCTACGCACTGCCTCCCATGTGGCCCCAGCAGCCGGCTGGCCATTCGCCTGGGTGCTGCATGGACCCTGGCCTCAGCTTTCCTCAGGAGGTAGGTCTCTGCATCTTGGCTGCATGGAAGTGTCCCGGTTGGTGTGTTTGTGTGTGCTCTGGTGTGCATCGGTGAAGCCTGGCCACGGGCTCCCTCCCATGCGGACGGAACAGTGTCCTTTTGTCCCCTGCTTAAGATTTGTCAGCAGAAAGGTGCCAGTAGCTGTGGGACAACAGAGGGGGGCGTGGATTCCTGCAGACCACCCCTGCCACTTGGAAACACACAAAGCCGATGGCCATGGCAGCAGCTTTTCCTGGGGGACAGCCGGTCTTAGTGAGACCCTGCTCTTGGGCTGTTTCCCACGGCGAGTGAAATACTTATCCACCGCTCTGCCCCAGCCCCGAAAGCTGGTAGCTGCAGGCAGACACTTCAGACACTTTATGTCTTTTGGGCCCTTGACTTTGGATTTCAAACAAGCCAGTTGCAATTTCATCCTTCTGTTGGAACTTAATTAACCCACTGGTTTTGTCATTTCATTTACAGTGGCCCAATTTAACCGCCCCCCCCTTCCTCAATACTTTGAAATTACTCTTCGAAAGTTGTGTGGCCAGTCAGGCCGTCAGCCCTGGGCAGTGCTGTCCGCTGGCACTGACTGCTTCTGAGCCGGCTGGGAGGCTGGCGGGGCTCCTGCTGTTCCTGCTTTGAAGGCAGTGCCCCCTGCCCCTTGCAGTTGTTGCCCACGACCCCACCCCCACCCCAAGCACTTTACACTTCTCAGCCTGCACCCCACCCCTTCGCTGGAAGGGCCTCAGTGAAGAGAGGTCGGAGCTCTGTGAGTTGGGTTTGATTTCAGTACAGGAGTTGATAAAATGAGATAAACCCCAGGCTCAGGGGGCCAGGGAAATTAAACAGAGATGATATCAAAGTTCCCCTGAGTTTTCAACTGTGATACAGTAGTTTAGTTTCCTCCCAGACCAGGGCGGGAGGCTCGCCTTTGATTCTGAAACAATGTTCGGCATCGGTTAAGCCCAGCACTGCTGACTTTTAGGGATTAAGCACACTGTTGTAGTAATTCTTTGATCAGCTACAAGGGAGCAGTGTGCTGTCTGTGCGAAGGGGCTTTATAGTTAAAGTTCATTTCTCTGTGAACCCAGGATGCTGGCACTGGCTGGCACTGGCGGGCGCTGCAGCGCTGGGAGCTGGGGCCGCCCCAGGCGCCGTTTGCAGCATTGCAGGCAGAAGCAGGAAACGGGTTTCTCCCACCCAGTATTTCTGTATAGTATTCATCCAGCATGACGTAGAAAAATAATCCTCCTGCTTGCAAAGCACACCGCACCCTAACTGACCCCAGCTAGTCCTAGTGAGTACATGCAGTATGCACGCCCGCATGCGCACATGCACACAGTCACAGTCACACTCCTGCCTTTCCCAGGCAAAATCCTCCTGGACAGACACAGGAACAGCTGCCGGGAGCCAATTCTGCAGCCCCCAGCCTTGCAAATGATCTAGCAGAGGCTGGCCTGGCATGGGTATAGGGACCAGATGACCTGTGAGGTTCAGTTAGGAGGACTAGCTCAAGGTCAGTGTTGCCACAGCACGCCCTCCACACCCAAGAGCAGGTGTGACTCCCAGGTGCTGCCACCACCTTCCTTCCTGACCTGGCATTTACCGAGTACTCACTTAGTCTCGGGTTGGCTCAGTCGGTCGTTGTGAGTAATCTCCACATCTGTTGTCTTGTTATCTAAAATACTGGGTCAACTTTTGGCTTTCACCGTAGAGACCCTCCTTGCAGCCACAGCGGGGATGGTGGAGGTTTCCCACAGCGCTCCCCGCTCCTCCTGGTTGGCCCTGCAACTTGCAGTTGGTAATGGAGCCCCTGTGTGCTGTCGCCGGAGCTCACCCCGCACCATACATCAACCTGTTCCCTCCTGTGCAGTGCGCGGATGTCCCTCATTAGGCCTAAATTTACCTCCGTCCTACACAAACATGGCCTTAGCTCATTTTTATGGTTGTAAATTATTTATGAAGGAAATGTTGAATCTTGAAACCGAGGTGTGAGGAAAATTAATCCCATGTTACTTTCATCTTTCTCTACTTTTCTCCCCCTTGCTTCACTTACTGGGCTATGGCTGGAGAAAGGAGGGCTTTGGCATTTTAAATATAATTAGTGTTGAAAGTGCTTCTCAGTCGGATGGGATGTTGGCCTCTCTGCACAGTGTCGTGGGAAGCAGACCAGACTGGGGAAGGAGGGCTGGAAGCCCTGTGCAGCTCTGCCACCCGCACGGTATCCAAGAACTCCGGGCCTCAGTTTCCTCTCCTCTAAAACGGGGATGATACGACCCAGCCGCCTCCGGGTTTCATGCGAGCGTTGATTGAGGAGGATCCCGAGAAAGCTTTTTGAGAATCGCAAATGCAGGGGAGGTGTGTAAGTGTGTTTTGTGTGCAGTTAGGACTTTGAGATAGAGGCAGATGCTGGTGGGGGAGCTGCTGAGGGTGAAGCCAGGCATTGTTGGTATTTTATGTTTTCAACCAGCATTGCCTCTTACCAGACAGGTTAATGTTGGCCTTAAACACCCTGTCCCCCTCCCTTGCCCTCCCTGGGCAGATTCGCTCTGCAGGCCAGCATTAATGGCCTCTTCTCCCCGTCTCAGAGGCCTGGCCTGTGACCCTGGGTGGCTGAGTACTCGGCGGTGCCATCCCTTCTGGCTCAAGGCTCCACGCAGCCTGGGAAATGTGGAGTGCTAGTTAATAAATGGCCTTTTGTTAGGAAGGTCAATTGAAGTGACGGTAGAGACGCTGTTAAAAGTAATTTGCAGTCAGAAAATATGTAATTCAGGGCAAGCTGCTTTGAGTGATTGCCTCTGCCATGGATATCTTGGGCGTTTCTCATTAAAAGCTTCCTTTGCTGGTGGTGGTGCTTCCTCCACTGCGGAGCTGGCCTCAGCCCCACGTAGCGAGGAGTCATTTGTCTGCATTTCACAAAAGGCTGCCTTGATCCCCAGGGCACGCAGCTGGGGGGAAAGGAAAGAAGAAGGCGTGCGAGATGCTCTGTGCTAATGCTCCGCACAGGGCATCCTCCCATCCTGCAGGCTGGGCTGTGACCAGGCGCACACGGGCACAGGCCGCTGGCTCCTTTGTCTGCCTCAGCTGCAGGCAGCCTGCAGCCATCTTGGAACCTGCTGCTGGGCTGCTTCCCTGGTGCATTCTGGGAGCAGCATCGTTGCTTTAAGAGTGAATTCACCCTGCTGTATTTGATAGCCTGCTTCAGAGCAAAAGAGAGCAATCGTCATCAGTACCTCGTGGAGGATATTTTAACCCAAGGACGTGAATCTATCAGCACATAAAATATTTCTTATTTATTCCCATGCTTATCTCCCCCTCCCTCTCTCTTAGATAGTAGAGGCAGTACTATCTTAATAATAATAAAAAAAACTTACCTCGCATGTTCTTTATTAAATTCACAGCATGATATTTTAGCTCTGGCAGAATCCTTACACTGTGTTAATGACTTGTTAATTGCAAAGCATTTTGGTAACCAACAGCAGGTACCGGTATTTTGCAAACCGCAGCAATGTTATTGTCACGTTACCAATAATATGGGTTTTTCCAAGAGAAGATACTTTTTGATCAGTGTTTGCTTTGAATTGGGCCAGTGCCCATATTTAATTCTAAACCTTCTTTATTGGGGGGTGTGCATGCATATTTATTCACTAAATATTTACTTCATGCCTACTGTGTGCAGGAAGCACTAAGCCCTGTGCTTTATGCAGATAAAGCTGCCCAGTAAATGCAGTTTGAAAATTAAAAAATGATGCAGTGGTGCGGTGTGGTATCCTTATGCTTTGCCCTGGGCTTCTGGAAGCTTATTTCCCGCAGAATTAAGTAAAGCAGAACTTAGTTTGGCTTTTGTCATAAATGGGGGCCGAGGGTACAGGTACTGCCAGGCACTTCCTTGTTTTGATTGGAGACTTGGCTCCATTGCCTTGACAAGTCTGTTTCTTGAGCCTTTAGTGCTGATGACACGGGTGACTTGCATACAGCATTTTGGTTGTTCCTATGTAGGAGGCACAGTCATTTTTAATAGCCTCTGCCTCTT